AAAAAAAAAATGTTGCGTTTGTTAAAAAAAAAAAAAAAAACAAAATATTGAGGTTTTAAGCACAAAAACAAAAACAAAAAAAAAACAAAATGTTGCGTATCAAAGAATTTAGAAAAGTCGAGAAGGAAATATACGTTTCATGGACAATAATCATACTGTTTATGTGTATGTGGAAAAAAAAATCTGAGGAAAATCTTTCGACAAAAAAAATACTTATATGCATCGAAACAAAAATACTTATGGTGATGCAACTAATAGTGACATTAATGTATTGTTTCTCCTACTAACCAATTATATAATAGGATTAAAAAGTCATACTTTAGTTTCTTTCAAATGTCTCTATACAACCCTCTTAATTTTCCTCTCAATAGACATCATCATATATACTATAAAGTATGAAATCGTTGAGTAGTCTATTACCCATATACCGACATACATATTTTAAATTAACTAACTAAATTGTAAATAATGTAATTAAATGTATTACTCATTAGTCTTAATCTTCTTCGCTAAAATGTTTTGTAGGAAGTGAAGTGGGGCATGGTGAGCATGGTGGAGGCTGAGCGGCGGCTACTAGCTAACGCTCTGCTCGACGAAGCAAACCAACGTTTTGTCCTCCTCTCCGAAACGGACATACCACTCTTCAACTTCTCCACCATTTACTCTTACCTCATAAACTCTACACACTCTTTTGTCGACCTCTACGATCTTCCTGGACCAGCAGGTCGTGGCCGCTACAACCGACGTATGTCCCCAGTCATTACCCGCAGCAAGTGGCGAAAAGGCTCACAATGGTTCGAAATCGACCGTGAAATAGCTTTAGCTGTTGTCTCCGACAACACTTACTTCCCATTGTTCAAGAAACATTGTCGTTGGAAATGTTACGCTGACGAGCATTACTTGCCAACGTTTGTTCACGTCATGTTTCCCGGGAAGAACGCGAACAGGTCGTTGACGTGGACGGATTGGTCACGAAGAGGACCACATCCGAGGAAGTATACAAGGAGGTCGGTGAGGTCGGAGCTTCTTACGAAGCTGAGGAATAGTGAAAAAGGGTGTGTGTATAATGGGAAAGAGAGTAACATATGCTATTTGTTCGCTAGAAAATTCGATGATAGTTGTATAGATATGTTGATTCGTTTTGCTGGTAGAATTATGGGGTTTTAGTTTAATTTTTTTCTTTAAACCCATAGCGCACATTCAGCGCATTTATATATGCTATGGCCCTTTTATATATTCGAATTTGTAAGGCCCATCTGTAGTTACAATATTTTATCCTCATACACTATGTTACATGAAAACGAAAACAGATAAGCGGAAGCGGAAGCTTATGAAAACATGGAATCGAAATTTTCTTAATAAATAGGAAGCGAAAACGTATTGGAAGCTTATATATATATAAATTTATAAAATTTATACATAAAAATTATATGATGCTAATTAAAATAAAGAGTCTATTCATTTATTATAATTTTAAATGATTGCATATTATGATTACGAAAATACAGCTAAATTAAGTTTATAAAAATTTATTATCCAATTAATTATTTTTTAATATTTTATAAATAATTGACATTTTGAATATATATGCTATATCTCTAAAAATAGTGCATACAATATTTTATAGTATTAATTTTAGTATTTATATAGTTTTATTCTCACTATATATACTATAAATTTTTAGATTTTTTTGTAAAAACATGATTTTATATTTTATTTATTTATTTATGATATCGTGTTTTTAAATGGAAGCGTGATTCCAAAATGGAAACGTAAGCTTCCAATGTGTATTTATACAAGTTATTTTAGAAGCGCTATGAAAGCGAGATTCTGTAAGCTTCCAAAAAGTTCTAGTTTTAATTAATAGCTAGTACATTATTAAGATACTTGGAAACCCCAAAAAGGTTAGATTATTGCAAGACATTCTTTTGGTTTGCTTTAAAGATAGTAGTTCGAATGAAATTAATATTACACAAAATAAAAGGGTTGTATATACTCAAATTTGTTGGATGGGACCAACCAAAATTAACAAGTTGGGGGTTTTGCAAACTTTGTCTTTTTGATGTAAAATGAAGAAGAAACAAATCTAAAATAAATTTGTTTTGTTTTCTCTAATGCTTATATTTTTCTGTTTAGGTTAGACATGATTAAATAGATAGCTGATTTATCATTAGATATTGATTTATCATAATTAGTATGTTGACGACAATAATGTTAAATTCATTAAAGATGAAGAAATGAAAAAAAAAATCTATAAAGAACCGGATCTAGCGTACCCATAGTGTGCTCTCCACAAAAAGTAATCAGGTGGCATAAGGATCAAGCTTAACATCAACCGTTAGATTCTAAAACCTAATAGAGTGGAAGATCATAAGCGTCCATATGTTGACAAATGGCGCTTTCTCCGTTGGGGTTGACGTCAAAAGTCTCTCTATTAATGACGCGATAAAACGAAAATTCGTGTGTGTTGCCAGGTTGTTTCCTTTCTCGTTCTCCGAACTTTCTTTATCTTCTTTTAAAAGTTCTGCACTAATATAGAAATATTATAAAAACGAAGCGACAAACCAACCATTTTCTCATCCCTTATCATATCAAAACTCGTGTCAATCAGCAGATCGATTAGATATAAAAAAAAACCTAGTTTAGATCGAAGTGATCTCTCTCTCTTTTTCGCTCTACCAACGTAACTCGCCATACCGATTCCATGGCGGGGAAGAGGCTTTTTCAAGATCTTGAGTCAGATCAAGAAAATAAATCCGAGAAGCGATTGAAATCTCTACCACTCTTTGCCTCGTAAGTCTTCTCAGTGTTTCTTGATTTTCTTAGATATTTTGTTGTATCTATTGTATATGACTAAATCATATACAAAACTTGATTTAGTGAGAAACATGTTCATTGTTCATCAGTATATATATGTGTGTGTGTGTGTGTGCTTATTTTATGTATATTTGTCTCCCTCTCTTCTCTCTCTTGTTTTTTTTTGCCTTCTGATAAACGTTTTTGTTTTTGTTTTTACCGGCCAAATTTCAGTGTGTTTGGAGCATTGAATACAGAAAATGCCTTGACGAGCTTCTCGTTAGCCCTAGAGCCCCTTCTTAGAAAAGTTGTAAGTACTTTAATTCTACTTTTTGTTATTTATTATCTTGTTTTAATACATTAATATGCCCATGCCAATATCGCATTTTAATTAGCATTAGATTCATATATATGCATATGTATAGTTTTAAACTGATAGCTCATAGATGTAGAGAACTAAAGAAATGGTCAAACTAGCAATTTAGAGATGCATTCACCATGTTTGATCAAATACCTATACATACCACACTAAGAAGTATTCCATGCCTAGCATTGACGACTTCTAATATGCGAGTTAGAACTTAATAAAATAAAAAAGATTCGATCCGGTTGCTAATACTCTATATACACATAGCTGCATAAATTATTGATATATCTTCATTAGTTTCTGAAGACTGAATTAAATACTTGCAAAGTTACAGATCTTTTAGTATTAATAACAAGACCTCTAGCTAACCTAACATCTCGGTCAAATAAATCTTAGATAGAAAAGACAAAAGAGAGGTCCGGTCCACACACAAACACATTCATGATATGGTATCATTGACGAGATCTACATATAGGCCTACAAATTTTAATACAAACTCCATTTTTCAAATAATGTCTGTTTAGAACTATGATTTTGTTTTATAAGCAATTTTATTGTAGGTTCAGCACAAAATATTTTATATCCTTTGCATATTATATATGATCAATTTGAAAGTTGGTATTTACATCTATGATCTGTACTTTATCAGTATTTATATACCAGTTTCATGACATTTAATTAGCGTCTTATTAATTTTTCATGTATCCATAGTTCCATACAATAGATTAACCTTATATAGACGTTTTAGTAACTTTCTAATTTGGTTATAAAATATAATACGGATGTTTTGTTATATATATATATATATATATATAACGGATGAGAGATCGTCATAAGAGTATTATATAACTAGTTTTGGTGATGGGAACAGGTAAGTGAAGAAGTGGAACTTGGAGTACGTAAAAAAATTCGATCATTTTCTCGGTCATCGTCGTTTCGAGTTGAAGCTCCGACATTAAAGCTAATCTTCGCTAAGAATATACAGACGCAACCAATATTCACGGGAACTAAAATCACTGACGTGGACAACACTCCACTCCAGGTCATCCTCGTTGATGGTTCAAACAATGATCACCAGATCGTTCCTGTGAATCTCGACCGTACGATCAGACTAGAAATCGTTGCTCTTCATGGAGATTTTCCATCGGATGATAAATGGAGTAGCGATGAGTTCGAGCGTAATATCGTCAAAGAAAGGGATGGGAAACGGCCGTTAATTGCCGGAGAAGTAACTGTGACGATGAGGAACGGAGTTGCAACGATCGGAGATATTGAGTTTACGGATAACTCGAGATGGGTTCGTAGCCGTAAGTTTAGAATTGGCGTGAAAGTTGCCAAAGGGAGTAGCGGTCAAGGCGTTGCGGTTTGTGAAGCCATGACTGAAGCATTCATTGTTAAAGATCATCGTGGAGAACGTAAGTTCCTTTTCTTGACTTACTAAGTAACTAATTAAAGTAATATATATAATATGGGTTCGTATGTTGGTCGATTAAACACTCTTTTAGACATGCAATAGTAACATGTCACTAGCTAAGATAGTAGAATCATGTTTCAATATCTTTGACCTGACCACTTATCGCATACTCAGAACTCATGCTTCTTTTTTCAAAAATTAATTATGCATTTACACTATCAATCACGTACCCTTATTATAGAGATTATATGCAATATGTGAAACATAAATTTGTTTTAGAAAACATGTGCAATAGATATACAGTACATTAAAATGGTATTTTTGTTATTGTTAAGACTTATTATAATTGTTATTTCTTTTAACTTACTTTGTGAAATTATTATTTACCAACTATTTTATATAATATAAATATAGATGTATATATTTGTATATGGTGTTTATATATATATATGTGTGTGTGTTTTCAGAGTATCAGAATCTAATTTTAATGACTATAAAATTATATAACAACTAAAATTAGCTTACATCAAAATTGCTATACTCTTTATATTGAAGTCTATAGTTGTTCTAGTCATGATACATGTGTTTTCTTTATTCTGGTTGTCACACCCACACCCACACACACACACATTTTATTTATGCTATAGATATAAACTAATTAAAATAATAATCGATGTGGACCATAGGCAAACAACTGTCCACTTTATATAAATGCAACAAATCTTGGTCAATACTTATATTTTTTTCTGTTTTAAATAATTCATATAACCTGTTACAAAAATAATTCATATAATTAGTTGATACATCGTGAGATCATATTTATTGAACTAGAACATGCCTGTGATAGGTTCAATAAGTGGATATAACTATATAAGTAAATACATAGGGACAATAAAATACAATTTTGAGTATTTTGTATTAATAACTAAATTTGTTTTCTACTACTTGTGGTTGGTGAAGTGTACAAGAAACATCACCCACCAATGTTAGAAGACGAAGTGTGGCGGCTAGAGAAGATAGGCAAAGATGGGCCCTTTCACAAGAAGCTCTCGTCTGAAAACATTAACAATGTTCAAGACTTTTTGAAGTTATCCGTCGTTGACCTTGACAGACTCCGTCAGGTAAAATTAATAGAGAAATACTATCTATATACAAACAATGCTTTTGTGTAAGTTGATTAATTGTCTGACTAACAAGGGTGTGTTTATTTGCAGATTATGAGCCAAATGTCTGATAAAATATGGGATGTCACACTGAAACATGCTAGAGAGTGCACTTTGGGAAACAAGTTATACATTCACAGAGGACCTCACTTTTACTTGACCTTGAATCCAATATGCGAAGTTATAGAAGCAATGATCAATGGTCAAGTCTTTTCTAATCAAGAAGCGATGAATCAGCTCTATATTAAGAAGTTAGTTCAAGATGCTAACTCAAAGTGGGAATTGTTAGAAGTGATAGAAAGAAAAACAAACGAGATTCCTCTTTTGACACAAGGTACTTTAGAACACAGTTGTTATTAACCACAACTATTAAACAAAACTCTCACAGTATTACTAATTAATTCTGATCATGCAGGTGATACTTTGGACCGGCAATATGGTGCAAACCACTACCATAACAACATGGAAACGAATAGGTATCAACAAAACGGTTATGCTCAAGAGAGATCCACCAACACTTTTGAGATGATAAACGAAGGGTATATTACTACGACACCAACGGAACTCGGTATATATTTCAATATTACCGGATCGTCATCCCAAAGTCATCTTAACCCTTTTGGTTAATCCTCATCTAAGACGCCTCTTGTGCTCTCTCACACGATGATTAGACTCTTTAACAAATGAGAGTTTAGTCTACTAGTTGGTAGAGACATGTATTATATATATATATACATACTTGTGGATCATTATTATACATAGATGTGTGATTTTAGAAGAGAAAAAAAGAGTAGTAATATCTCGATGAATGGTGTTTCACATGTTTGCGTTTTCGAAATGAAAACGTGTTTTTACTGTTGTTTTTTTACCATTCATGATATTAATCAAAAGCTTACTCTTTTACGTGTTACCCAAAACTAACTCTTGAGTATATAATATGATGTAATCTATAAGCTGTGGATAGATTCTTTAGCTGAACACAGACTTTAAATTTCCAAGGAAAGTGTGTGATCTTCTTCAGAGGATTCACCTTTTTAGCGAAATTGGATAAATTAAATGACAGAACATTAAAGCACAGTTTTTTTTTTTCAAAAATCTTACAGAAAAGCATAGTGAAACAAAATGATTCAAATTAATCTATGTTCCTTGGTCTTGGCTGGTACCAGATTCCTGTCGAATCTCCTTGACAACAGCAGCTAAAGCCTCAGGGTTAAGACCAAGATCGCAAAGAGCAATCAAAATGGACAAGGTATGTCGATCGAGACCAGTTTCCAAGATGTTGGACATTCGAAACACAAGCTCCAACGAGTCCCTCGCTGTTTCAGCTGTCTGCTTATCCATTTACTCTGTGACACAGATAATAAAAAATCAAAACTTTATTTCAAAAACAGAGGAAAAGATTCATTTTTTTTTTAAATAATAGTTTGCAGTATCATACTGTAACTGTACAGATCTCAATAGATATGCATAAAGAGAGTGGAAACCCTACAAAATTCCTACTTCTAGAAACAGACGAAACAGAGAGATGAACAAACCAGCTTAAGATTATGCGAGGGAGATAGATAACCAACGGCGTCGAATTTGAGATCTCAGAGCTTTTGAAAGTTGTGAGAAAGGAGTCGGGGAAGGAGTAAAGGCGAAGTAGATTTTTAGGCAAACCAAAATTGGTTACCATTTAACCGATTCGAATTAGAATCTTAACCGGTATTCCAGTTAATTAATGTTGAATATATATCTTCTCTTTTTGGAACGCTACTTATGTAGAATATAATTTATTCTAGTACAAATTACAAGAATTTTATTGGTCTAGATGTTTAAACAAATTACAAAAATATTACTTCTACAGTATACAAATATATTTGTTTTCTATTTTCACACTACTGTTGTTTTATGAAGATTCATTCTCAAGGGTTCTATATTTTCAATCATACTAAAAATTTCATATAGTTTTTTTTCACTCTGCACAATTGATAGTAAATCATATTTTTGGATTCCAAATCCAACTTTTTTTTAAAGGTAGAAACATTAATGAAAGTATAGGAAAATCACTAGACCAAAGAGATTTCCCCAAAATGTTGTATTGATTCTATGTTAATGGAATGATGATCATCCATAATTTATCAAACGACTATTAATTAAATCAGAGACTTTTTTTTGTCAAACAATGAAATCAGAGACTATGGCATAGAATTAAGCAAGATCACACTCGTGGGATTACACTGGACTTGGAAAATTGATTTAACAAACACTTGAAGAAGAAACATAAACCAAAGCTAAAAAGTAGTAAACTTGAAGAAGAACAAGATGAGTTTAGCTTAATACATAAACGACAATGACAACCAAATCAATTTAAAGCAATAAGAACGTGGTTGAAGAGAGAAAACGAGAAGGGAGACTAGCACTTGGGTTGACACTGACAATGAGTGGCGACCATTTTCGCATTTGGTGAGTTAAAGAAAGATTTGAAATTTGGGTTCCTCATGTACTGGCAGACACAGTGTTGTTGCTCCTTCAACTTGGCGCAACAGATATTTGAGGGGTTAGAGCCATTGAGTATGGCGTCCTTGCATGGCATAAGCTGCATAGGGTTACATTGCTCTACTGCAGCGACTCTGCTTTCTTGAGCAACAATGAGCAAGAGAAGGATTGTACAAGTGACCAACACTGGTTTTGTGCAAGAGGCCTTCATTGTCTCTCTAGGTGTGGAGTTTGAAGTGGGTTTCTCTTCTTCTATATATAGAAGGAGATAGCTTTGTGTTAGTCACGTTACTGAAATGAGAGCTTGTGATTACACAAGATCTCGATTTTTACAATATCAACTCTGTCTAAGCTTAAAGAGGTTATTAATTTTATAAAAATGCTTAGACAAAGCATATAAAGACTAAATACCATTTGGGAGAATTTATGAAACCATGTGCATCCAACATAGTAGTCAGCTTTCGGCTGTGACCCCGTGAAGGTATTATAAGCTTGTTGGACAATTAAATAAATCAACAAGCACCTTAAAGTTTATATATCAATTCATTAGAGTAGTATATACAGAAAACAAACCGGGCTTCGTAGCCTGGTGGTAAAGGAACCTCGGCTGAGGTGCCCGCCATCCGACTTCGAACCCCGTCCACCACATAATTTACCTGCGGAGTTGGTGTGGCGCTCCAGACCACTTAGCGTAACCAGGGACCCTTAAGTGGACGCTTAAAAATCCTGTCATGGCATGGGCTTAGACCCGGTGGGCTAGTCGATCACGCTTTGTGGTCGGATACTTGGTTATCAAAAAAAAAAAAAATATATACAGAAAACAAAAGAATGGTTCTCTTTGCAAATGATCTCTCATGTCCTTTAAAGATTAAATAGACTCTAATGAGAAACTGGAAGACAGAAAACAAGAACTGTCCTAGAACATCTCTCATGTCCTCTAAAGATATATGCATATGTTTTTAATCCTATACAAGTAAAGAACACAAAAGAATCGTTCTCTTTGCAAATGATCTCCAATTTGGAAACTAAAAACTTCATTTTCATACGGTGGAGTCATGGGAAATCGAAAAACTTGCCAAGTTGATCTCTTTTAGTAGAGTCAGAATAAGAGGAGAGTGATCAGGTTTCATACCATCAATCTTGATACCTGGACCAGACAAGTCAACATCATTAGACCAGACCGGGATGGGTATCGACCGGTTTGTTATCGCTGTCTTTTTAAAAACTGATGAACTAGCCACCTCGGCCCAGCCCAAAATTGACTTTCTTTTCTTTCGCTAAAAAGACCACTGATGAACTAGCCCACCTCGGCCCAGACCAAACCATTGGACGAGTATGGTTTTAGTTTATTTTGTGTGTGTTTGGAATCACGATTACGTTAGCTACTAATTACCCGGCAGAACTTGGCAAAACCTAAAATAATCACAAATTTTGAATTTGTCGTAGAGTTTTTGGATCATGCTCCGACGATTGAAACATTTTGAGCGCTGGTTAGGTCTAATCACCACCTAGGTGACGCACCTAACACTCTTGAACCTGATTAATTATTTTCTTTCAAATTTCAATCACAGCCGTTGTTTAACAACTAATTATTTTATTGTCCAGCAAATCCGGACCAATATTCTTTGGATAATTGTACTAACCTAAGTGGTAGGTTTTGTATATAGAAATATATATACACATTCTTTATAGTTTTTGTGGCAGTATAAACTCGAAATTGTACAATTGATTTGTGAGTTGTGTGAAAACCTGTGACACTGTCTCCCTAATGTTTCTTGACTTTCTTACCTCGAATATACAACAATTAGAAATATATCTGACAAAACGAAAGAAAGTAAAAGTGACATGAGAGACCATTTCCCACCTCTATCTTCGTTTTTGGTTCTGAACCAAAGTGAATCCAACATAAAAAAGTGATTTATAAATAAAGTCAAATATTGATACTTTGATTGGAAGTGAAAAGTACAAAAACACTCTCGAAAAGGCTGGTGGGAATCTATTGAGTGAACAACAACAAATACCTAATTTACCCTCATTTACCTCAAAATCTAGACCATACCAAACACTACTATTAATACAGTACTTTTGCATGTGAAAAACAAAAAAAAAGAAAGATACATCGGTTACTTGTAGACTTCAAACACAAACTAATTAAAAGGTGGATTTTGATTAATTAACACGTTAAACAAGTTTTCACTAAACCAAGTTAATAAAAAGTTCCATTAACAACACTTCCCTTCTTCCCCGCATTGTGTGTCACGTTCCCCACCTCTCCATTATCTCCTCCTCTCTTTCTTTTTTTTCTTCTTTCAGAAAAAGACAAGACAAATGCCTGTTTCTTCAGAGCCTTCGTCTTCTTCAACAACAATCGGTCAGCACATCAGACTCCTACCATTTCCCTCCACCGAAGAGCCTCTAATTCCAAAACCTAGCCGCATCTCTAAACCCGCCATGTCCTCCTTCTTCCTCTTACCATCATCATCTTCCAACGATACCACAAAGAAAACAACATCATCGTTTCGCGGGCTTGGCTGCACTTCCTCTGCGTCTCAACAAGTCTCCGTCCCGGCGGTGATTCGCTCCTCCGCGGATTGGAATCCAAGTAAGACCAAAAGCAAGAACAAGAACAAGGGTACTAGTCGCTACAGTGGCGGTTCTGTTAAGATTTTGAGCGAGGCAGGAGATGGAGGAAACGCTTGCGATGTTTGGTGCGGTCCCGGTGTTGGTTTCTCGACGGATGCGGTGGTCGGCGGCACGGTTAACTCCGTGGAAACGAATCCTCCGAGAAGGAATATTCCGACGAGACGCAAAATCGACGGTGATAATAAGAACATTGGTCACAGCTCTAATCAGACAGAGGTTTACATTTATTACATTCCTCTAATGATTCATTATTTTGTTTATTATATTATTCGTTGCGTGCCTCTTTTTAGTTTGATCTTTAAAAATCATCCCCTATATAAACAGAATATTTAGTGAAATATTTTTTTTTTTTATTAAATAGTTATTTTGCTGGGCTTTAGAGATACTCTTAATATTTTTTTGGTACATAAATAATTTAAATAATGATATATTTATGATTTGTATATATCTAGTAGAAATATAGTTTTTGCGTGTTTGTTTTGATTTAGGTCTATCGTCCTTTTTTTTTTTGTAAACTAGGTTTATCGTCTTGCCCATCTCTATATATCACTCTAGGTTTTGCACTTATATACATCTTATTCCTCTGTTATTTATTCATCACTCTTTCAACTAATTTAATTGGTCTACTTTGGTAAGAATTTGTTTTGTGGAGAAAATTAAGGTCACTGTTTCTTGTTCGGAGCTTAGCTTCATATTATTTTGATTCAACTGAGTTAAAAGTTAATTGATATTAGGTTTGATTTAACTTAACTGTTTAACATTCTTTGCAGGGTTCCTCTGTTCCTCCCAGGCGATCTCATAATCAAGAAGCCAATCCTTACGTTGACTCTGATTTGCCATCGCGTGGTGAACGGACGCAGACCCTTTTCTCTCATAGACATCATCGTCATATACGACTACCTTACCCTAATGGACTCTCCGAGGTAAGAGTGTTGTTGACCAAGTTACATGTCTTAGTGATCACTGCGCTTGTGTATTGTTTTTTAATGGGATGTTATATATTGGCAGATGATGTTGCTACAAAATAATCTTGTAATGGGAGGGACACTTAGCTCTTACGATCAGTTCCGTGACTTGAGGCTCAACGTCGATGGCATGACATACGAGGTATGTTCTTGTCTTTATAAAAAGAATTATTATGATGTCTCTATGTTTGTTTGAATGAGTGTTGTGTGCTGTAAAAATAACAGCAACTATTGGAGCTTGGTGATAGAATTGGGTATGTGAACACTGGACTAAATGAAAAACAGATCAAAACATGTCTCCGCAAAGTCAAACCCTTCAACAAAGCTACACCACTAGATGATAGAAAGTGCAGTATTTGTCAAGTAAGTTTTCATTGATTATATATTATTCACTTGTCTTGTAAGAAGTCACGTTTTGTTAACTCAAGAGTGGTCATGTATTTGTTTACCGACAGGAAGAGTATGAGGCAAAGGACGAGGTAGGGAAATTACGATGTGGGCACAAATACCATGTCCACTGTGTGAAACAATGGCTGTTGAGGAAGAACTCTTGTCCTGTCTGTAAAACGATGCCATGTGTTTCAAAGTCTTAGATAGATACATCTCTTCTTTCGATGATATGATTCTTTATTTCGAGATGAACCATTTACTTTATTTTTGTGTTAGCTTCTTTATTTTTTTTCTGGATTTAATTAATGATTTTGATATTTTTTTTATTTCTGGAAACAAAAACTGGTTGATCAAACATATTGTAATAAACATCAACGTTGGTGATTATTAGGTCGGCAACTACAAAATAATGTTAGGTGGGTCTAACATTAATTATCACATGACTGTTACTTGCTAGTGACGTCTAAAGTTACCTACACAATTAATGAGGTCAATTCAATGATGTTAACGTACTAATGAAACTTTCATCAATGATAAGAGCTTTAATACGTTTTTACTGCACTGCTTTTGAGGTCCCAGTATAAAGCTGCTAAATGTGTGATGATACGTATACATGAATGTTATATGTACAAGAATCAAAATCTATTTGTAACTTCGTTGATCTTAACTCTGGTCATGGCGCTGAAGAAACTGAAGAATCAATGGATATGTTTCGCTCCGGGCCTGTAATTAATGATAAAAGAAAAGAGTGAATATAATCAAAACACTAAAAAAGCTATAATTTGTTAAGAAGAGAAAATAATCATACATACCGTTCGACCAGAGATCATATCCTGGTGGCCATAATGTGGACCACCAGGTGAACCGAAAACTTTGAAAGTAGCTTTATGTTGTGGGATCAGCTTTACAGTCTCTGCTCATCAGATCAACACCATTGCAAACCGGTTAATGATTAGATTAATCAAGAGATAACAAGATATTATATTACTAAGTACCGTATACTGCATCAGGAGGGCAGACTATATCCCAGTCCCCTGCCAGTGCCAAAATAGGGACATTGGTTGTGCTGATATGATCCTTGTAATAGAAACTACCGGTTCTGTCACGTAGCCCACCATTGCCCAAGGATGTTGCTAGCTGATACAGAAGTTTAGCTGGTACTGGGCCTATTTTTCACCGAAAAGAAAGTTATGGTCACATGGAATATGAAATTTGTTGAGAAGTAATGAGAAAGTGTTCATGTCACTGAGCTTACATAAGCTGTTCAAAACAAGCTTCTCAATCACTTCAGGGTCCATCATTTGAGGAGCAGAGATATTAGTGGTTAACCAGGACAAAGCATATGGAGGACGAAATATTAGTGGGTGAGCCATCTCAAGCATTGTATCAATTGGTAAGGCAGACACGTTAAGTGCTTGAGCTGGCTCTTTCTGTAACAAAAAAGACATTTAAGATCACTTTTCACTCATTTTTTTTTTCCCTTTGGAGAGTGTCATAGTGCGTTGATTGGTTCTAAGTACTTGCCACGGGTAATAGGTACTTGAGGAGTGTTCCTGAGGATGAGTAGTCCAATGTTGATGCAATAGTGGTGACAGAAGCCAACCCTGAATCCATTCCTTTTAAGCCTAGTGAATATAAAATAAAAAAATAGTGGTTACTCCTGATTATGAATTACATTGACAACACATGTAAGAGAAGGAATATTAGTCTTTTATAATGTATGAGAGAAGACTTACCACATCTTGAGAGCAAGGCGTATAACAACATACCACCCATTGAGTGACCAATGGCTAACAACTTCCCATCTTTTGGGTTTGTTTGAGTCCTCACATACTCCATCTGAGACCAACATTTTCATATAATCAGACATGGTGTGAGCAGGACTGTAACAAAGAGAAGTTTCAACTTTATAGAAGAATAACAAAACACAAGAGGTGTCACCTCACCGCAGAAGGAATATCTTCTTCTAGATAGTTATCAAAATCCCAATTGTAACGAGGGATGATGTCAAGCCGCTGCTTGAAATCTCCCACTCTCTTAGAGAGTCTGTCTTGCAACCCTAGGATCTTGAAACCTGCATATTCTTCTCAGTAACAAAAGAACAAGTCATAGACAGAGAAAGAGGTAATGAATCAACCTTCATCAAGAACATTTTCCATCTTCTCAGATACGTTTATAAGATTCTCCAAAAGATCTGAAACTATCTGCTTATCCTCCTTTCTAGATTCTGTCTTATTCATCAGAAAACAGGGTTTATTTGAGAAAATCATAAGAAAAGACTCTCATATGCGTTTACCAAGATCAGTACCAACACTTAGAGAACTCAACCCAGCTCCACGGAGCTCAAGAATCCATGTATCAAACCCTGAACCAGACATGAACCTTGCAAAGGAACACTGCATACAATGAACACCCACAGAAAACAGAACAAATCAACTCTTTAGCTTCCAAATATAGACTTGCGTTACAAGAATCCATAACACAACACAGTTTCTTAACCACAAGTCCAACTAACACTATAATCAAAACCGGTTTGTTTAAAGATAATGAAGATCACCTCAGGGGAAAGATCATAGGTGAAAGCATTGCTCGCAATCCCAGACAATAGAAGCAAAGGATGTTTCCTCTTCGGTGCCTATAAGTGTATAAAACATGGTATAATACGTATACAAATACATATTGATACGTATATATAAGTAGTTAAGTACCTTTGGGGAAGGAAGATATCTCCAGAGGGCGGCACGCCAATCAGAGTTGGGAACAGGAACGTAGTGGAGCTCATCAGCCGTGCAAGTTTCATTCACCGAGACAGATCCAATCGCTGGAGATGAGCCGACACGGCTGAGCTGCAACGAGGAGAAGCGAGGACGGGGTTGACTGTTGAGTAGAGAAGAGGCGGCAACGGAGGAAGTGAGAGAACCTGAGCTTAGCTGGACTCGGAAGAGAGTATCCATTGAACACTAAAGAGAGCGTCAGACGATGTTGCCGGAGGAGAGCAACGGTTAGTTTGATTTATATAGGCAGTGAAAAAAGAAAGATTCACACTCGGTCGTTTTCTTGTTCTTGATTTTTTTTTTTTTAATAAATCATTTGCCACAAATATAGAAAGAAAAGGACAAAACTAGTGTTTTATTTGTACACGAAATCGGTCGGGTTGTCTTGGTCACATAGTGGTTGATCTTCAAGTAACCAAACATGGTGTAGAAAAAAAAAGCCAACAACTCTTTACATGGTTGTGTTACATGATTGCTCACTGTTCACAAATAGAGGAACGTCCTAGTCTGAGTGGTAAGCATTCTTCTACTTTGAGTAAAAAAAAAAGGTATCTCTTTGATGTGTTCACTCATCTAACCTTAACGGGAAGAGAATGTAACACGTGATAATGTATACGCATGATCCATGTGTTTTGCCAATCATTTCTTTTGATGTAAGCCGCACTGAGTCGATAGAAATTAGTTATCCAGGTAATTTTTCTATTGATTAGAATCTGATTTAAACTCCATAAAATGCATATTTGCAAGGAAAATCATAGTGATAGATTGTTTATAGTTTCGGATAGAGTGAATAAACATATCAAAACTCACATCAGATATTAGACTAAAAAAAATCTAATATATAAGTCCGGTCTAATAATAAAGCGGAAAATATCATAATATATAAATCCGGTTTAATAATAAAGCGGAAAATATCTAATATATAAGTCCGGATAGAGTGAATAAACATATCAAAACTCACATCTTTTGAAGAGCAATCGATTCAAAAACAAATCCGTGAAAGTGTAAACAAAGCGGAAAATATCATAATAATCGAGGGAGTTACATCTGAACTGAATCGTAGAAAATATCATAATAATCAAGTGTAGATGTAGCATTTTGATAGACAAATTAATAAGATTATATTAAGAAATTGTTTAAAATTAAAGCGTTGAAAGAATATACCTAGGATTCCAAGATGGATCAACCATGATCACACGGTTGGCCTTTGTAAAAATAAGGCCTATACCACCGACTTTTGAAAAGGTGTGGGTGTCCACAAACTTTTTTCAAAATCTGATATTAATCGAATTAGAATACTACACGTGTGATATAAAAACAAGCAATAGAGTTTCAAGTTTTACCTCTATAACTACTAGAGGGGATTTATCGACAATTGATTTATACAATCCACTTATTAAGAAATCTTTGTACAAATCACTCTGCAACAAAGACATTAGTATTAGTGTATCTATAAGTTTCATAAATACATTGTATTTTGGTTACACCTGACAAGCGGTTAACTCTAGCCACACCACAAGTTCGTTCTTCTTGGAAATTGCAACTAAGGTTTCATCCTTAAGTCGCCTCAAGAAGTAAGGTTGATAAAGCTCCCTCATTTCCTATTAGTCATCAAACGGTAAACATGATAAGATATGTATTAGTGTTGGAAAAACTTAGTTCTAGACTAGTTGAATACATTAAGACATGCACATCTCACACACTCTTATGAAAGAGCTAACAAATAGATGGCAGGATAAGAATAAAAACTCTACAGCTAAAAGTAAAAGCCTACCTCTGCTTTTGTTGAGCCCTTCATGTGTGCAAAATCTGAGCATTCTTTCTACATCCATGTACAATGGCTTTCCCAAAATTCTGCGTAAACCTGTTAAAGCTCGAAAGTATTTAATACAGTGCTGATATAAAAGCTGGATTAGGGAGATTGGAGAAGCAGTTTACCACTTCGCGTCACCAAGTTTTGCAGGGCAGCAGATACTGAAGAGAGCCCTCAATTCTTCAAGATTGTTTTGAATCGGCGTACCCATAAGTATTACGCGGTGCTCACTGGGAATCTCAACCAGAGCATCGGTTCTCTTTGTCGTGAGGTTCTTTATACAATGTCCATGCATGTTGGACAACTGTTAGTTTGGTAATAGAATGCAACTCAGTTCATAGAAAAGTTTGATATGTACATATACACCTCATCCATGATCATATAATCCCAATCGATTAGATTTTTGGCATCCTCACCCTTCAAAGCTATGTGGTGGAGTGATACCATGTCATAGGTTGTTAGAAGAATACCATTACTCTGGAAAATTTAAGAGATATATGAGTTTGAAAACGGCTCAAACCAAATTACCAAATCAATAGAAAAAACTATGGAAGCTGACCTTGATAATGAGGAGGAGAATGGATTCCTTAGATTTGCCATAGTATCTATGGAAAAGGAATGAACAAGAGAAAGTTAGTAATACTTGTTCACAAAAAAACAATCTAATAAAATGGGACTCACTGTCTAGTGATTGCATCTAGCTCCAGAGTCTTTAATTCATCCATCCACACAGAAAGCAGGACGGGTGTCACCACGATCATGGCGATTTTAATCAGTTGACACTGAAATAAACCTTTTAAAAAGCTGCATACCTATATGAAAACAAATAGAAATTAGCATTCTATTACAAAAAAAGTACAGAAAGTGAGAAAAACAAGGAATATATCTTAAATTTCTTACCTGCTTAGTTTTCCCTAAGCCCATGTCATCTGCAAGTATGCCTCCACCCTTCTTTTCAAGATGCAATGACCAAAGCCATTTCAATCCCTCCTTCTGATGATCGAAATTGATCTCCACAAACTGTCCGCACAACCTGAAATTACCCTTCGGGCCACTTAAAGTGAACTCTGCATAATGCAAAACAAAGTAATAGTGTATGGCTATGACTAATATCAATTGCAATCAAAAATTGACAAGTTTGATGGAGAGAAGAAATGCAAAATGAATTTTCTGTATATTCTTCGATGCAAAGAGTTTTATATATATAGGATGTGGTCATCTCATTATATGTTGTAATTATCTCCTAAGATCTCTCAAGATCCTAACTGTATTGTGTACATGGAAGGACATATGATTGAGAATAGGTCGCAGAGGATTCACAACATCAAAATTCCGTTGACGACATGGAAGAACATGCACTTTTTGATGCGTTAAAATTAACCAATTGCACAATCGAATCAGGTTGAGGATGTGTCCGGATTCCCTCTGCCTAATTCGAGCAATAACAACGTAGGAGAATTCGAAGACATAGATCGGATCTCAAGAGAGTTTGAATTTTTAAGCTTTAAGTATATAAGCTTTAAAGTAATTTGATTGCATATGAGCTAGCTAAGAAAGATGATAAACATAGAGTAATTTTTTAGCTATGTGACATGATGTTATGTTTTTAGAGCTTTTAATAAAGTTGATAACAAACTAAAAAAATCGGAAGTGAGCGTATCGGAAATATTCATGCTAGGTTAAGAGAAGGCAGATTCATCAATCCAACAATAAAAATTCAAATATTGTCTTATTTGTACTTGTAAAATTTAAGAGATTAAAGAAAATATGTTTTTTTATTTAACATATATCATAAAATTTCAAACATATAAAATATAATAATTTTAGTAAATATTAGTAGTTACATAATTTTTTTAACAAACTCACGCGTAGCATGGGTTTAAAAAAACATATTTGCAAGGACAATCATAGTGTTAGATTGTTTATAGTTTCAGGTAAATAAGCAATTGAAATCTCACATTGCATATTAGACTAAAAAAGACTAATATTATAAGTTACGTCTAGTTTCAATTGGTGTAAAGTTTTTTAACCGACTCAAAAACAAATCCGTGAAGGTTTTAGACCAAGCGGACAATACCATAATAATCAAAGAGTTCAATATCTAACTCTTTCTCTGTTGCAAAGTTCACAAGTCCAAGTTGGTCCAACAGAAATCAAAAAATACTTCTTCAGAATCTTCAAGTGCTCACACTTACATTTTGTTTCACAACCCACTTTACATACTTAAGCTTACTCGAGAAGACGAACCAAGGTTTAGGTTTTTTGAGCTGTGGGAAACTGAATCAAAACTCTTACACGTCAATAAATGTTCATAATCTTTTTTTTTTGTCCTATCAGAAGTGAGCAAAACTCCTTACTAAACAAAGTTTTGCAAATCCACAACAAGACAAATCACTCATCCCCAAGTCCAAGACCAAAGAGGTCTGTCTACACACAAATGTTTATTCATATAAACGAATCTCTACTTACTTATCTTCCTCGGTTCACAATAGAAATAATGTGTTTAGCAACATCTGATGCAGCATCAGGTTTCCCAGCTCTTAACGCCCTCTCGCTCATCTCTGTCATCATCTCTTCATTCCCTATCATTCGTAACCAACTCAATGATGAGAAAGAAGAAAATGAAAATTCAAAACTGAGAGTGAGGAAGTCACCACTTACCTAGAATCTCTTCCATTGCAGCTCGAAGAGTGATCGTATCTAGCTCTTCCTCTAATATTACCTTCGAGCCAACAATGTCCGCCATCAAAGATGCACTCCTCTCTTGATCCCCTTCATCACTATGTGGTGATGGTATCTAACACAACAAAAACAATTCAAACATTGCAATCTCTCATTCAACCAGTTTAAGAAGATTAAACATACCAAAATAGAAGGTTTCCCTAAAGCCATGATCTCAGAGCAAGTCATAGCACCAGCTCTCGAGACAACCAAATCTGCTGCCGCATAAGCTACACCTATCGTTCTCAAAAACCTAAACACCAAAAAAAAAAACTACATTCTTGAGTCCTAAGTTACCATCTAAACCCTTTTTTTAAAAAGAATCTTTGTTATTATTAACTCACGGAGATAAAAAGAGACGAGGATGACTTCTAACAAGACTATCCATCTCATCAAAAGCCTCAACACCAGTTTGCCAAACGAAAAACCAGTTCTCATGTTCCGACAACAACTGCAAGTAACAATTAAGCAAAGCTATATTAATAGCATTCGCTCCCAAAGACCCACCAAGCACAAGCACAACTCTCGCATCCGACACAGCCCCCGCCCACTGTCCGAAGAAACTCACACGCGCCGCTCCTTTCGACGCGTACCGTCTCAACGCCTGCCTTATCGGGTTCCCGTAGACAACACACTTCGCGGCGGCGCGTTTGGGGAGGTTTGTGACTGTACAGTTGAAAGGAGCGAAGATTGTGTCAGCGAACAGAGAGAGGATCCAGTTCGTTGTTCCGGGGATGGAGTCTTGCTCTTGGATCACGAGTTTGAGGCGCATGATCACGGCGGCGAAGCAGACGGGGAAGGAGGCGTGTCCTCCGGTGCCGACGACGATTTGGGGTTTGAAGTCGCGGAGGAGTTTGTAGGACTCGAAGGTGGAGCGGATGAGGAGGAGAGGGAAGTGGAGGAAGGAGGTGAAGCGGAGGAAGGGACGGGAGGAGGAGTAGCCGACGGTGGAGATGGCGGAGAAGTTGAATCCGGCGGAGGGGACGGTTGTGCTCTCCATGCTGTTTGGGAAACCGATGAAGAGGATTTGAGTTAAAGGGTCTGCGGATTTGAGCTCGTCTCCGATGGCTAGCGCCGAGGAGATGTGTCCGGCGGTGCCTCCGGCGGATATGACGACTCGTAAGGTTGAGATTTCTTCTTTCTTTGCGGCGGAGGCGTGGTTTATTCGGTCTACTGAGAGACAGCAGACGGTGGAGAGAGTGAGACGAGTAGGGACGAGTCTACTCGGAGGGTAAAATGGTAAAGTTTGAGAGAGGAAGGAAGGGATCGCCATAGAAGATCGAAATTTCAAGAGGAAGAAGCTTCGAACTATAAACCATATGAATAGGTGAGAGAGATTGCAATGCGAATATTATGAGTAGTGATGAGAGGGAAAAGATTGATAGATCTTTAGGGATCAAAAGAAATATAATGAAAAAGCGAAGAGATCTTTGATCATCTTCGTGTCGGTATAATGAAAGTCTTGTCGTAAGAAAGGTCAACTTCTTTGTACTTTATTTTGTTGGGTTTTATTAGCCACGAGGGAAATAATTGTATTACTCTAGTTATGTTTGTTCAGTTACTCTATGCCACGTAGTATACATATGAAAGCGAAACTTCTTCTAATATTTTGGATCATAATATTCAGAACTAAAGATATGAGAAATTATTAGAAGAACAAACGAGGGATGAATGATGATATTATGATTAATATTATAAAAGCTATAATTTAATGTAAATTATTAGGAGTGATTTGTTATTGTTTTTTTTTTTGTTATTGGCTAGTTAGCTGTACAATCTAGAGAGGTTTCAAAATCATAATCTTTATCTTTCTGTTGTCATCTCTTTGACTCCACCTAGTGAGAATGTGAAACTAAATACATACAGGCGTCCCTAAGGTATTGGAGGTTCTAAGTAATTTATTAAGGATTTAATTTTTATTTTTTTTACAAATTTAGAGACTTTTTTCCATGTAAATTTTTTAAAAAAAATTGGGAATCCTAAATCAATAATATTTCATTTTGCTATGCTCAGTATCACCCCTGAACACATATACATACTACTACTACTATAGCCCTTTGGGTCATCATTTTATTTCCGGGAAGCATCCCGGCTCCTCCATGTTAATAGTACTTGGTAATATAAATACTTTTGTTTATTCATAGATGACTAGATCAGCTGTATTATAAGCCATTAATAAACAAAAATACTATTTTACTACTAAAAATCGCCGCAGAGGAAAAATCAGAGTCTGTGGGTAGGTTTTTGTGGTCTTAATAAATGCAAAACTGGTCCATGTTGCTGCAACTTACCACTAAACTTTTTTGCTTCTCCTTTATACAAATCAATTGTGGTTCAGGAAAAAAAAATCAATTATTTATACCAAAACCATCATCACTTCCACCACTTATATTTTTCAGAAACAAAAGCAAAGAAACTAGATTTCATTACATTCCGATCAGCGCATTTTTGTCAGTCAAAATCATTACTGTTTGTTAGTGCCAAGGCCACCAAATATTCGTGGTTAAAAAAGAAAATCAAAAGAATATTCTTTTGTAATAGAAATAGAAATAAATCTGTTGGCAGGAAGAAAAATAAAAAAGAGCCAAGAAAAAGTAAGGAAACATTTTTTTAACATTGAAAAAATAATTAAACAATTGTAGAAACAGAAGAGAGGAGAAAACAAGTTTGTTTTTGCAACAACAGAAGATAAATTAAAACAAAATTAGTTACGAAAGAAAATAAAAAACAAATCGTTGCCTCTTCCCAATTAGCAGCCAGCTTTGAACCACACAAGAGACATAAAAAGCCCTTAAACCTGGAAGGAATCTCAGCGGTTTCGATTCTGAAAATTTGATCCTTTTTTCGAACAGACAATACTGTATTCGGACAGGGACGATCTTACTATGTCCGTAGCAGACATCAGGTGAACGAAACATTAGATTCAATTTCATCAATCTGCTTTTTCCTGCTGTGAATTTAGGGTTTTATGGTTTATGATCCTTTCTTATATTGAAGATTCGATTCTGATTAAGGGTTTCATAAAGCTTGTAACTTTCGATACAAATAGATGATTTTTGGATTGAATTAATGTTTTCACATGAACCAATGAAAAATTGAGTTGCTTTTCGCAGCAAAGGTGGAGCCTTTGATCCTTTGTTTATGTTTCAATGATTGTCTGAGTATTGTAATTGGATTGTGTTAGGATGGAGACTGAGCAGCCTGATGATTTAGCTAGTGATAACGTCGCTGAGATTGATGTAAGTGATGAAGAGATTGATGCAGAGGACTTAGAGAGACGTATGTGGAAAGATCGTGTCAGGCTCAAAAGAATCAAAGAGCGTCAAAAAGGCGGTTCTCAGGTGAAGGAGGCTCCTAAGAAAATCTCTGATCAAGCGCAGAGGAAGAAGATGTCAAGAGCACAAGACGGTATACTTAAGTACATGTTGAAGCTAATGGAAGTCTGTAAAGTCCGTGGGTTTGTGTATGGTATTATACCTGAGAAGGGGAAGCCAGTGAGTGGCTCCTCTGATAATATAAGAGCTTGGTGGAAAGAGAAGGTGAAGTTTGATAAGAACGGTCCAGCTGCGATTGCTAAGTATGAAGAGGAGTGTTTAGCTTTTGGGAAGTCGGATGGGAATAGGAACTCTCAGTTTGTGCTGCAAGATTTGCAAGATGCTACTTTAGGGTCTTTGTTGTCTTCTTTGATGCAGCATTGTGATCCTCCGCAGAGGAAGTTTCCGTTGGAGAAAGGGACTCCTCCTCCTTGGTGGCCAACGGGGAAGGAAGAGTGGTGGGTGAAACTCGGTTTGCCGGAGAACCAGAGTCCTCCTTACAGGAAACCTCATGATCTCAAGAAGATGTGGAAAGTTGGGGTTTTAACGGCTGTGATCAGTCATATGTCGCCTGATATTGCTAAGATTAAGAGGCATGTTCGTCAGTCTAAGTGTTTGCAGGACAAGATGACGGCTAAAGAGAGCGCGATTTGGTTAGCGGTTTTGAACCAAGAGGAGTCACTTATTCAGCAGCCTAGTAGTGACAATGGAACATCTAATGTAACTGAGACACATAGGAGGGGTAATAACGCTGACAGGAGAAAAACTGTGATCAATAGTGATAGTGACTATGATGTTGATGGGACGGAAGAGGCTTCAGGTTCAGTTTCGTCTAAAGACAGTAGAAGAAATCAAGTTCAGAAGGAACGACCGATAGGTACTTCACAACCAGTAAGAGATCAAGATAAAGCAGAGAAACACCGGAGAAGGAAAAGACCTAGAATAAGATCAGGAACTGTTAATGTACAAGATGAAGAACAGCCAGAAGCTGAACAGAGAAATGTGTTACCTGATATGAATCATGTTGATGCACCTCTGCTAGATTATAACATCAACGGCACTCATCACCACGAGGAAGGTGTTTTAGAACAAAACATCGTCTTAGGACCAGAAGAGAACGGTCTTGAACTGGTGGTTCCTGAGTTTGATAGCAACTATACTTATCTTCCTCCTGTCAATGGACAAGCTATGATGCCTGTAGACGAAAGACCAATGCTTTACGGACCAAACACTAACCAGGAGTTGCAATTTGGGTCAGGTTACAACTACTATAATCCTTCTGCAGTGTTTGTGCATAATCGGGAAGAAGACCTTCTCCATACACAGATAGAAATGAACGCACAAGCACACCCTCACAGTAACGGGTTCGAGGCCCCAGCAGGAGTACTTCAACCCCATGGTTTACATGGAAATGAAGAGGGTGTAGAAGGAGAAGATATGCCTCCTCAGTTTCAGAGTGACCAAGATAAATTCTTGGACAGTAACATCCTATCTCCATTCAATGACTTGGTGTTTGATGGTAGCACCTTGTACTCTGGGTTTGATTCATATGGTGCATTTGATGGTGACTTATCATGGTTTGGAGCTTAGTTTCTTAACATTTTTGTTGGGAGGTTACATGGTAAGTTTGTGTTACAACACTACACCATCTTATATAGTTTTGTATTCGTTTATTAATGTTCTTGTATTGTCTTGTTGCAGGTTCAAGGGAACATGGCAATAGTCTGGCTAGTACAGTTACATTCTCTCTTGCTGATCTTATATTCTTGGTCTTTTTCTTAGATTTGTTAGGAGAAACAATAATTTCCTTTTGAATAATTTGCCAGACACTGCTTTTCCCGCTGTAATGTTCGCCAGGGAAAGCAGTCAGTGCGTATCTTCTGTAAACTAACCCTGTGAGTAATTTATCAAGTTAAGAGAATCATTATCTTTGCTTGTTCAATTGCAAATTCTTGTAATTAAAAAGATCAGAATCATGGCATATAGAGACTTGTCTATCATTTAACCTATCTCAAGAGATTATCACTTTTCAGCGTTCGAAGATTCTCAATCATCAGTCAAACAAAGTCAGAGATGTAACCATTTTCATGAAAAATATCAAATAACAGGGTACCTAAATGAAAACGACAACTCATATGTTCCTGGTTATTAGGATAACGAAATGATCCTTCCTAGACTCATTTTAGTTTAACATATCTCCCATTGGACTTAATACACTCTATTTGAAATAAATAAAGTCAACGAGAAATCCTTTAATGAGTCTTGTAAGGTTTGATGATGAGGCAGCTCAGGGTTTCCACAACTTCATGGTGCAATCTGCACTATAGGTAGCGATGAGATTTCTATGTGGGTGGTGTGATAAGCCTATCACATCTTTCTCATGCACCTGCCAATTAACATAAACTTTTCAGACACCTAAGTCTAATAAGACTGCAGATTAGATACTTAAACATATGTATAAACACAAGGGTCTTCATTACCGTAGTAGCTTAATAATAATGTGATTAGTTTTTCTTTGTGATATTACAACTTATAACTTACCATCATAAAGTGCTCAAGTCCACCGGTTTGATAGCTGAAGCAGTACAGTTTCCTGCAGGTTAGTGCAGACCAGTGTTATCAAAACAGTGGAAACATAAAACCATCCTTTCAAAAGTTTCATACGTAAGAAATCTAATTAGAGGGTAGATTAGTAATACTTGTCTTCACCAAGGCAGTATATCCAATCGCCTTTTGTAGATACACATGCTGCTACAAAATCTCCTCCTTCCCTCTTACCGGATGAGAAACTCTTGACGACCTGCAAAAAGGATTTAAAGTCATGTGAATTGACTAGTAATTGCCATGACAGATTAGCAGGAGACAGTTTCTCGAAATTCACCTGTCCTTGGAGTGTCATGATGTATATAGATGACGTCTTGTTGCACACAACAATGTGTTCTGTGTTTTTAGGGAACAGATGAACAGAATTAACTGACGCTTCACTTCCCTAAATTCCAGAAAATACAGATTTAGAAACAACAGAGCTCACTTAGCGACATGAGATCAAAAAGAGAATAACAAGGAGTACATGAATCTGTAAGACAACACTTACTCTTAGTGAAGGCGGTGGCTTGAATGTTTGTAGACAATCAGTCGTCTTTGAATCCCAGACCTGTGCAAGGAAACAAAACAGCTATTACACAGGAGAAGGCAGAGTGCAAATGGAAATATAATAATATATACAATGTACCTTCACTGTGCAATCACTGGAGGCAGTGATTACACGGGTTCCATCACTTGTAAAGATGGCATTGTTTACATAAGATGTATGACCGCGGAACTCTTTCAACAATTTTCCAGATTTCAAACCATGGATTCTGCATAATATAAAGCAAATATATAAAACGTGAATTTAATATTATACTCAAGCAGACGCTTTACCAACCAAATGTATGAGGAAACAACATTAAAAGTATAAAGAGATTCAAGCTTTTGTTCGGAGAGATTTTGACATGCAAAAAGAAGAGGATATAAGTAATAAAACCTTGCAAGTTGGTCAAAGGAGGTACTTAGTAATTGTGTTCCATCTCTAGAGAAGGTTAGACTTGTAACTCCTTCGGAATGTGCACGCTCTAGACGACGAAAGCATAGACCTGTCCTTATACGCCAAACCTGTAAAAGTGAAATGCATCTAAGTTTAGCTTTTTCTTGTTGTATACAATGAGAAGTCATTTCGGGCTAATAAGTAAAAGATGAATGTCTACCAAGCTGCTGCAACAGTCTCTCCAGAGAAAACAATATAATAAAAAAAGCAAAAATAAACTGTAAGAAAATATGTACAGCTTTTTTACCTTAATCTTTCCATCTTGTGAGCCAGATGCAAGCATCTCTGAATCTTTGCTAAAGTCTATACAAAGGACAGCCTCATCATGCATCATGAAAGTTTCCTGCCAGAATTAATCATTATAAGCAACCAGGACAGTACGGTGTGTACAAGGATGTCACAGACGAGATGCTTTAGGGGTTTCATGTGCAAAATAAGTTTTATACTAAAACAAAAAGTGAAATGTAGTCAAGAGAGCTTACTTCAGCTTGATATTGCAAATCCTTCTTCAGCTTCCCACTTATGTAATCCCATACCTGTAATGTTTTTTCAAGTCTGAGAGATCCTGGTCACAAGATGAGTCTTAAGACTTCTAAGACATATAATTATACAAAGAAATTCAACATCAACTCACCTCGATAAAACCATCAACAGAAGACGATACAAGAAACTGTCCATCTGGTGAGAACCTAGCACATTCGGCATGACTCTTCGTACCAAACTGCAACACCAAATGGAACGAGATATGCAAATCAGAAAGAGAACGAACTGCTGAGAGATAGGCCATTGAGCTAAACAAGCTATCAATATGAACCTTTATTGTATGATTAAGAGTAGTAGGATATGTGTCTTCCACATCTTGTTTCATAGCTGCCGTCCCACGGAAGAGGTCAAACTGCGTTCCCGGAGGGAGTAGGCCTAACAAAGAACAAATATATGTAATATATCAAAAACCTTGACAAGATAACTTAAAAGAAAAGGAGATAATGTAGAATGCACAGTTCGTTTAAATGCTCACCTTGATGCTGTTGCCACTTTAGAGCCTGACCTACTAAAGCCATTAACCGTGAAGGAGGTACCACAGTAACCTCGGCAGCCACAGCTGACAGAGGTTGAAAGCAATTAGTAAACCTTGAGTAGAAACTGAGTCAAGACAAATAAATAAATTTCATAGCCAACAAACAGAGCATAAGTTTCTGTCATAAACATTTTTCATGTCATAAAGTATTCTTAGCCTGCTTAGAGAGAAATTCCAGGACATTACTTGCTTCCTTCAGGTGATTGAACACAAAACAACTTACTAAAAAGGAAACAAGTGAAGAAAAGACTGTACTCTTAAAAAAAATTAAGAAGAGATGACCAACCTTGAGCAATCTGTGCACGCTTCCTTTCTTTGGTTGAGTCTCCATAAGCCTAAGAAACAGTTGTAATATTGTAATATCAGCAAAATATGGTTTTCGAATACACAAGGAAATGATTACATGAAAGGAACCGCTCCCGCTCTCTATACTAAACATGAACAATAACTAGGAGACAGAATCTCAAAAAACAAATCCGGTAAAGGTCAAATCCATCAATATGCAAAAGAGGTAGTAAAATGGAAAGATACTACTGTACTAATAAACACGGAACATGTGTTATAGTTTAAGAACCTAATCTAGAAACAACTTCATATCTAACCGATGCTAAGCTCACAGATTCTACTTAGGACTTTAAAGGATATCAGCAATTGCACATATGAAACAAAACAAAGTACAGAAAAGCAAGCAATGTTCAATTTCTAGTAGATATAACAACATTGTTTGTGACAATACCAACATTACTTAAAGCGCTAAAAAGTAGTGGATAACCATGAGTATGTGACATAGCAAACATAAAAAAACACTGAATAATAGTCAAACAATAACACAGCTTTCGTACCTCATGGGGATCAAAATAGCTTCTGACAAGAAGATGCTCCATCCGCAAATATCTTTCTGGTTCCTCCTGTTTCATGACACCCATCACCTGAGTTTGCCTCAAAATAGCTCTGGCAGTGTCCAACTCTCGAAGTTCAATCATCTCCAATACAATCTGAAAATCAAATAAATTCCCATGAGACTTATTAACAGTAAGAATGACAAAACTTACAATGAAAAATCACTACTACATACACCACTTATTTATAAATCCCACAAAGAAAAGAAAAAAAAAGCCAAAACCTGTTCATAAAGGTCTTCAAGTTTATTCCTGGGAAGCTTAAGCTGCGACACTTGAGGAAGTACAGAGTCCCACTTCCCACTATTAATATCAGAAACAAACGTCTCCACGCTGTCTACCGTGTTTAGAGAAACCTGACACTCGCTCTGTAATGTCTGGAACGTCTGATTCAACGAGTTCTCTTTGCAGAACTGAAGCACAATCTTTATAACACTGAAATAATAAAACACACAAAACAGAGCTCTCAGCTGAACAATATCAAATCACAATGCTGTCATTGGATAATTCCACCATCATTGATCAGGAAAGAGAGTGACTTTCCCCAAGGCATTAGCTCTAGAACAGCCTTTCTAATGGGAAGATTAAAAAAAACATAAATTTAACCTAAAGATCTATTTGTGTATTCGTAGACGATGAGTCTCTAGGTGTACAACAAGTGTGACTTAAAAGAAAAATAGGGTAGTAAGATAAAAAGGAAGGAGAGAGAGATTACTCTCGAGCTTCGATTTCGAGCGCCATCGTGAGTCGTAGAGAGTGTTTTCGCCGGAGACAAGCGTTGGAGTTGAGCAGACACAAACGCGAAGGAGTTTTAGTTTGGGTTTTAATTCCAGTTAAAGATAAAAAAAAAGATAACTGTTGGGTAAAAATTAAATAATTAAGAAAAAATGGGGTTTAGTTTGTAAATATCTTCAACCATTTTTTTATAGTAAGTTTTTCTTTTTGGTTGATATTGATGGATTAACAATCCGCAAAATATGCTATATTGATAAAAGATAACTGATAATGTTTTGGTATAATCCGAACCGAAACCCGATTTGCCCAGCCCTAACCAAAACAATGAATCATGTTCTGCATATACGATATTTTCGATGGACAGACTATTTTCGTTGTAATAACAATTAAAACAAACGGTTTTGGTTTTGTGCATCGTTATCGAACCTTAGATCAAGCATTTAGTTCATGCATTTACATGGTTTTGTGCATCGTTATCGATGTACAAGCATTTACACCTTGACCAATATGCCAGTTCAAACAAGTCTAGAACAAAATTTTCAAACTCTGAGAGCAAAACCATATAAGACCAACCAGTTCATGCAATCAATCTGTGTCTGAAGACAGATCTTAATCAAGTTACTGTAATACAACAAAAGACACAAAAGTGGTTTCTCCTCTTTTCATTCAATGATGACAAAATGCTTAGCTTCTATAGATTTGCCATTTTGAAAACTTTCTTCTTTCTACAACAGTTTAAGTTTCACACACAACTTCTATCAGTTCGAGACTGAAAGTATGCACATTTCCTTTTGGCTTCTAAGAAAACTATACACATACATCCTAACTTCTACAATCTTTACTACATATAACGTGTGGTGGCTACACTTCAAAATGCCTCGTCTTCTTCCGATTCATCTTCTTCTTCTTCTTGTTCGTCTTCTCCAGATACCGAACTATCCTCCTCCTCTTCACCTTCTTCAAAAGCAATGCTCATCTCTTTCTTTACCACATTAGCCAAATCCTGCCTATTTGCACTCACATAAGCATCCCTCACCGCTCTAAACAACGACTGATTCGGTTCAAGCTCCCCAAACGTAATCCAACTATGTACCCTCTTCACACCCTCCACCATTCCTGCTTTCCCATATACCCCAACAAGGTACGCCTGCGTGACAATATCTGGTTTTAGCCCCTTCTCCTGCATCCTCATGTACGCCTTCAGGGCCATGTCAGTATCTCCTGACGCACCATAAGCATTTATCACCGCGTTGTATGCATAATGCTCAAGAGGGGTTTCATCTTTTGTCAGCTCTCGGCACGAATCTAATGCATACGTATGCAACCCCATGGCTGAGAACAGTGTTGCAGTGATTGCTGATGTGGCAAGTGGTTTAGCTTCATTGTAAGCGGTTTGTAGCTGCTCCACCGCTTCCCTCGGCACACCGCCTTTCTTTAAAAGTGTAAAGATCGTCTTAAACGTTCCCCAATCAAGCAAAAGCTTTCTTTCAACTAACATCTCATGAAACAGTTCACAGCACTCACGTAACTGCCCATCAGCAGCGTAGCAAGCCATTACTTGGTTAAACGAAGTGCAGTCGTTTAGTAGACCAGACTCTCTCATCTCCTCAGCCACTTCAATAGCTTCATCAAGCATTCCCATCCCTTTGTACAAGTACATCATCGTCGCGAACGTAATAACATCACAAGTGCCTTTTTCTCTAAGATCGTTGAAAATGGTTTCTGCTTCGGACACCATGCCGAGATCTGCGCAAAGACTTAGCATGCTGTTTGATGCAGCAACATCTGGACCACCTTCTGAATCCTTCATCTTGTCATAAACCCTCCTAGCTTCTTCAAGACACCCTACTTTGCTATAAGCTTTGATAAGTGATGTCAGAACAATATGGTTTGACTGAACACCTTGTTCATCCATCATTCTAAAGTATTGAATCGCTTCTTCCACCATGCCACTCTCAGCAAATCCATTAATCAAGGAGCCATAAACAACCTCGTTTGGTTTCACACCTGCTTTTCTCATCCCCTCGTAGAGGTCAACCGCATCAGACAACAATCCAAGCCGCACATAGCTAGCAATCAAAGCAGCAAAGGTCTTACATCCCGGTTTACAGTCAGAATCCATCATCTCAGACAAGATCCTCTGAGCTTCATCAACTAAATCAACCCCAGCAAGCATCTGAACAAGGGAGTTATAAGTGCATTCATCAGGCCAAGTCCCTTGGTTCTTCATCCCTTTGAATAAAGAAAGCGCTTTCTCATGAAGTTTAGCCATACCATAAGCTTTAATCATCACATTATACTCCAAAACATCGTTCCTCTGACCTGTCATGTTCCTCTTCCCATAGAACACACCCTCCGCTTCAACCCATAACCCCTTCTCAGCATAGACATCAATAACCGCTGCAAGCGTCGTTGAAGAAAGCACACAGTCTAACTGAAACCTATCAAACAAAGCTTTAGCATGTCCTATCATACCTTCATAAACATACATTTGCATAATAACAGGAACAGAATGCTCATCAATCCGAATACTATTCCTATCCATCTCAGCCAACACATCTTCAACTTCCGCAACCATTTTCCGTTGACACAAGATATGAATTACAGCTCTGTGAGTCACAGTATCAGGAAACAAACCCACTTTCCTAATCTTCCTATAATATCTAATCGCTGCCTCAATGTCTCCAGCATCAGCATGAAGAGACAAAAGAATATTATAAGTCTTGGTATCAGCGTTTACCCCTTTCTCCTCCATCTTCTTCAACAAAGACTCAGCCTCAGACAAACGCCCATGACTCCCACAAATATGAATCATAGTATTAAACGTCACCGTATCTACAGCAACTCCAGACTTCAACATCTCAGAGAAGAGACTAGCTGCATCCTCCAACCTCCCTGCCTTCCCATACAAATCAATCAAAGCGTTGAAAGTAGAAGTCAACCTCGGCTTCCTCGAAGAAGAAGACCTCTCCGACCCAAACCGCAAACTCTTCTCAACAGGCCCCCTTGCACCCACCTTAAAAAGCTCCATAGACAAAAACTGCTTTAAGTCCACAGCTGATCCTCTGTTACAACCATCATCATCAAAAGAATCCAAATCAAGATCAACTCTCCCCTCACACCAACTTTTAAAGAACCTATCAGCACGATCAAACTCCCCGGAGTTTTTCAAAACCCTAACTACAGTAGCCATAGTGACTTCATCAGGGAAATGCATCCTCTGTTCCATATGTCTAATCCACAAAAGAGCTTCTTTCACAAGACCCGCTTTACCATACACATCAACGAGCATACCGTAAGTGTTATTAGTCGGCAAGACACCGTTGTGAGCCATCTCTATCCAGCAGAGACGCAGCTCATCCCACTTCCCAGCTCTCCCTAAAGCTCGCAAGACGATGTTGTAATGAATCACGTTGGGGACGTAGCCTTGGTGGTGAGTTTGGAAGAATTTAAAGACGCGGAGGGTTTTGTCCCAGCGAGTTTGTTCCTTGAGGAGGACGGTTTGTTCTTTAGGGGTTAGGTTTAGGGAGAGGGAGGAGAGAGTTGTTTCTATGTCGGTGGAGGAGTCGAGAGAGCGGAGGATTGATGGGATTACGCCGCCGTAGCGGCGGTGTTGGTGGTGGCGGGAGTTAGGGTTAGGTTTGGAGCATCTTGTTGGAGAAGAAGAAGAGGAGGAGCAGTGGAGTTGGAAGCGAGGAGAGAGCTTAGGGGAGAAGTTATAAGGAAGTGAGAGTGGAAGAGGAGAAACCCTAGAACGAGATGTGAGGTAGGAGGAGGAAGAGGAAGGTATGTCTCTTGAGGAAGAGTAGTGACGACAGCAATTTGGATGAAGCATGTCTGTGTTCAGACACAGAGACCAATCTAAAATCTTAGGGTTTTAAGTTTCATCTTCTTTCCTCCTCTGCTTACATTACAGTAAGCGCAAAAAAATATCGGCGCGTGATGGAGACGCGTTGGAGAGGCGATTGTGTAAAATTGGAAAATAATTGGGCCTGGGCTGCACTAGATGTTATTGGTTGGGTTTAAACGGGTAACTGTGTAAATTTGTAATTTTATTGGGCCTGGGCTGTATAAAATGAGTATGAAGTAGTAAAATATGTAGAAACATTTGTGCACATCCTCATCATTTCCAATCTCCTTGATGGTGTCTTACGGCCATTCTTTATCTTCTCTATGTTTCTTTTTAACATGAATCTGCTTGAGTGTGTCTCTGTGTGTGTATGTATATACTGATCTTCTTTTTACATGTATCTTCTTTTTAGTTTAGCATGTTTTGAATGATTAAATGCGTTTGGAAATTTCGTGAAAGGATTTCATTAGGAGTGATATGTGCTTCTCTTAGTCTCTGTCATCGCTCTTGTCATGGCTCGTACCAACTAGACCGAAGAGGTAAGTGTAACGTGACAAACTGACAAGGTAACTACGAGCCACAAATGTCATTGTCTCGAATAATTAAAAGGATGGGTGTAGATTTGTGGGAGCATATTTTCAATCACTATTATTTGAGTCAATAAATAATTTTTCCTAACATAATATGAACATAAGTGTTAAATAATTTTCCTAACATAATTGTATGAACATAACTGATATTCATTTACTAACAGAATCGAAACAACGCTATAAATAACTGTTAACCCTAGGAAAAAAAAACAGAGACAGCATAGATATCAACGACGGCTCCACAAGAAACCCTAAAAGACAGGAACACAGAGAGAAACCGAGAGAGAGTCTGTTACGTCAGATTTCTCAAGCTCCATTACATTATTTTTTTTTTTACTTTTCAGAAAAAGACAGATAGAGAGAAGATGGGAGATGGTGTGACTCCTCCACTTCTGATAACAGAGAGAAACACAACGATGTTACGTGTCAAGGAAGAAGTGAAGAAACAGCTATGGCTCTCTGCTCCTCTCATTGGTGTAAGCCTCCTTCAATACTCTCTCCAAGTCATCTCTGTCATGTTTGTTGGCCATCTCGGTTCTCTTCCCCTCTCTGCCGCCTCCATCGCCACCTCCTTTGCCTCCGTCACCGGCTTCACCTTCCTCGTACGTTCCTTTCTTCATGGATCCGTTCATAATCTCTATAGTCTTGTCTTTGTGTGGGGCCCTTTAAATCGTTTTCTATATTACTTATGCATGTGTCGGAATCAAAATTGTTTATTATTACTAGGGTGTCCTGTTCTTAGCATAGGCGATTTTAGAAAAATTATAAGCTCCCAAATTTGTTAAATGTTTTTTTTATATAAATCTTTGTTTAATTCCTTATTGCTCTCAAAATCTTTACTAATTGGCTCTGATTATTACAAATGTATATGCTTCTTTCTTCATTGTTGTTTTTCTTCTGTTGTGTGTGAACAGTTGGGAACAGCAAGTGCGTTGGAGACGCTATGTGGCCAAGCGTACGGAGCAAAGCTATACGGGAAACTAGGCATACAGATGCAGAGAGCAATGTTTGTTCTTCTCATACTCTCCGTCCCTCTCTCGATCATATGGGCCAACACAGAACATATACTCGTGCTTGTACACCAAGACAAAGCCATTTCGAGCGTTGCTGGCTCGTACGCTAAATACATGATCCCTAGCCTCTTTGCGTACGGGCTGCTTCAGTGCATCAACAGGTTCTTGCAAGCGCAGAACAATGTGTTCCCTGTGTTTGTCTGCTCTGGAATCACCACTTGTCTTCACTTGCTGCTTTGTTGGTTGTTTGTGTTGAAGACGAGTTTAGGTTACAGAGGAGCTGCTCTCGCGATTTCCATCTCTTACTGGTTTAATGTTATTCTTCTGTCGTGTTACGTCAAGTTCTCAGCTTCTTGCTCGCAAAGCTGGACAGGGTTTTCGAAAGAGGCGTTTCATGAGATTTATGATTTTTCTAAGATTGCTTTTCCTTCAGCAGTCATGGTCTGGTAAGTAATGATACATATAAAAATGGTTCATGTCTAGTGTGTTAACTGGAGTTTAACTTGTTGTGTCTTTGTAATAGTTTGGAGCTATGGTCCTTTGAGCTTTTGGTTCTAGCTTCAGGTCTTCTTCCTAACCCGGTTTTAGAAACTTCGGTTCTTTCAATCTGGTAAGTTTCTGTTATTATTTGATTCATGTATTTCTGTAATAGTTTAATTAACACAAGTTCTTTTAATTTTTCAGTTTAAACACTTCACTAACAATCTGGCAAGTCTCAGTGGGTCTTGGTGGTGCAGCAAGGTTAGTACATTGGTAACAATAAATATCAAAAACTAGTTAAGAGAATCTTGTTGTATTAAACTATGGTTCTTGATCTTTGACTTGCAGTATAAGAGTCTCCAACGAGTTAGGAGCAGGAAACCCACAAGTGGCGAAACTGGCTGTATATGTCATTGTAAGTATAGCAGTTGCCGAGGGTATTGTGGTTGTTACCGTTTTGCTGTCTATACGGAAGGTTCTTGGTCGAGCTTTTAGCAGTGACCCGAAGATCATCTCATATGCTGCATCGATGATACCTATTGTCGCATGTGGAAATTTCCTTGATGGTCTCCAATGCGTTCTCTCAGGTTCTTTCTGTACACAATAATAACAATATTGGTATTGGTTAATGGCTTATATAGTCCCGTTTTTGATTTATGGTTGCAGGGGTTGCTAGAGGATGTGGATGGCAGAAAATTGGAGCGTGTGTAAATCTTGGATCGTATTATCTTGTCGGAGTTCCGTTAGGCTTAGTGCTTGGTTTCCATTTCCACATTGGTGGTCGGGTATTAATCTGATAATTTAAAGCCTCATACTTATGTATAAGACTAGTTTATAGAGACTATTAAAGATGTGGTGTTATGTCATGTTTTTTTTTTTATATAGGGGCTTTGGCTTGGTATTGTAACAGCACTAGCTGTTCAAGTATTGTGTCTGTCCTTGGTCACTATATTCACAAACTGGGATAAAGAGGTAACTTTTTTTTTTTTTACCTTTTAACCGATCAGCCCAAGTTTCATGTTATATAAGAGTATTTGAAATGCACCTGATGTGGTTCTGAATGCTTTTTTATTTTGATATAAATAGGCAAATAAAGCTACAAACAGAGTTGGAGACAAAGACGAAAAAGGTGATTATGTTGAACAATCAATTCCAAGATGAAAAGTATATAGGATCTGCAAGTGAGCATAGTTTAAAACGTTATGGCGATAATTAGTATGTTGATTCTTCTACAATTATTTCTGAGACATTAATTAGTCAATATATGCTATCATCTTTCACTTGTGAACATGTGGTAGCTTCATACTTTCGGGATCAGTTAGAAAAATGGAATATGGGTAGTTGTGAATGAGGGGCCTTGCTCTCGTTAAACTACAGTTTGTAAAGAGCAAGAGTTTCCCTACTCACTAGAGTCTACAAAAAAGTAATAAGAACAAGAGTTTCTCTACAGCTTGTTGTGTTTTTGGAAAAATTCTTGCATCGAGTAGATCCATTTTCTTAGATTCTCAGTGTATTTGCAGTTTCAATTATATTATGAGAAACTAAAAATAATGATGCTAAAAGCACATAGTTTTTATTAATGATGGATGTACATGATGATTAGTTAATCATCATCATCTGCCAAATAAAGTTTCTCTGCTTTGTATGTTTATAGTAAACCAAAAGAATGATTCGCCATGTTCATCATCACTAGTAGTAATATGACATGAAAAAGAAGAAAGAAGCCAGTTACATTATCCTAAAGGAAGTCAAGATCTAGTTTCCTCTTCAGATTAGATCTATCCGCGCTGCAAAACCAAAAACCAAAAACATCAAAAAACTTTAATCCTTAAAATCTGAACAAGAAGTAACTGCAAAAGGACTAAACCAATTATGTTTTTTTTACCTGGTGATGGTTAATCGGTTAGGTGGCCGTTCGGCTAAGATGGTAAAATCTAAAGACATAGGTGCTTGTCCATCATTGCTAGCTTGTTTCATTACATCAACACTCTGGTCTTTACCAGACCTTCCTCGTTCAGGCATCACTCTTCTAAACTTATGCGCTGGTGACAACACCGTAATAGTTTTGAGTTTACTCTCTGATGATTTACCCTCCTGCTTGATAACTGGTCTTGGTAGCTTTAAAGGATCAGTAGGAGAAGGTTCAGATGTGAAGTATCTAACAAAAAAATAAATGTCAGAATAACCAGTTTCTATAATACCATTCTCCATAGTAAAAAGCTTTACCTACCTGTGGTTTAAAGCCTGATGAATTGATATTCTAGACTTGGGATCATAAGTGAACATCTTAGACAACAAATCTAGAGCATCCTCACTAACCGTTGGGAATAAAGAGCGTAGAGACTTCCCAGGGAGAAACTGATACTCTACATAATCAGGAAGTGATAACATATCTGGCCATTGATCTTCTTTAGGAGTCCCAAAAGTAGCAAAGATTTTACTTAACTGATCTATATCACTGTTCCCCTGCAATGTAATAACTAAGTCAGCTACTTAAAAGACTACACATGCAAAGTGGTTTATGAACACAAGCTCACCTGAAGAAATGGTCTGCGTAATAGAAGTTCTGCGAAGATGCAGCCAGCAGCCCAAACATCAACAGCAGAACCATAATGTTTTGCACCAAAGAGTAGCTCAGGTGCTCTATACCATCTAGTAAAGACCTGGTGAGTAAACTTACGACCTGGACTACTGAATATACGTGCTAAACCAAAGTCTGCGAGTTTTAGTTGCCCATTGGGTCCTATCAACAAGTTGTTAGGCTTCATATCTCTGAATCATACCCACGCAAAAAGATAATCAATCAGAGTAAAACCAAAGCAGAACTTGTGTAGGAGTAGTAGTTAGCAGTTAGTACCTATGCAAAACACATTTGTTATGGCAATACTCAAGACCTTTAAGT